GCGCGATTTTTCACGGACCCGCCCAGCTCGCATGCACCTGCCCTTGCCCTGCGTCCCCGTGCGCCCCCCGTCCCCATGCGCCCCCAGACCGCCCGCCAACCAGCTCCTCCAAACCGGTGCGCCGCTCGGGTAAAGACGGGACCCGACGCACACCGCGGCGCGAAACCCATCCGACACTCTCGTGTGGGCGGGTCTCTTAGAAAAATATAAGAGCGGGGGGGGCGAGACTAAAATGGCCTACTATCCTAGATTCCCCCTTCCAACAGATGGGGTGTCGGTCCAGGCTTTCAGTCCTCGTACCAGAACTCGCTTGATCTCATACCCACGTCTGCGAGGGTAACAGGGCACCATAACCCTCCCCAGTATCGATCAACCTAGCTCTGACGGACAGGAAGTGCCTTCCTCCCTCGACAATTCCCATAGCGGCGAGCCCCTAAGCAGGTTACAGGGTCAATACCCCGGCGCCAACTACGTCGGACGATCTGGTTATGCCTTCCACCCTCAACATAACTTCACAGGCCTCAAGCTCCCCTTGGGTTACAGAGCAGAGGCTCAAGCACCGGCCTGTGTCATCCCAGCCTTGTCCTTCTAACCTACTTACCCTAACAAACACCTTTTTCTGTTGAAAATCCCCTTGCTGCCTTCCTTCCTTCAATTCTAGCTTCCCCCCCCCTTCGGCTCACTGTGTAGTCATCGAAGTCACTCCTTCCCTCAAAAAACAAAATCCTAACACTCTGCTATAAGCAGGCACCCCCTTGCCTTCTCTCCCCACCCGCCAGTACTGATCCGACCCTAAATCAGTCTGGCTAAGAGATGGAAATCCACCAATACCGCCTCCCCCCTCCAAGAATAACACCTCCCGCCTTGTGAAACCCTCACGGGGGGAGGCTCCAAAATTATAGTCATACGGGGAACCGCGTAGCAGCCAGAACCGTCTTCACGGGAGAATAAGCGGGGGCTGCTCCCGATCTGCAGGTGGGCGATACCGGCTAGGGGCCAGCCAGTAGCACCAGGGACCATGCCAACAGGACCGATCCCTGTGCCTCCCCTCAGGGCCGCTCCCCTGCGAACATCAGCAAGACTCTGCTCAATGACGATCCGGGGGTCTGGTGGTCGGTCTATCTTTAGGCGGCGGGCACCAAGCTGTTGTTTTTATTTCCTCCATTTATTTATTTACTTATGTCTTAAGAGGGGTAGCTTTTTGCAACGTACCTGTAATTTTGGCATTTATTTAAGATAACAAGAACTGTCAGGCAACATCAATCTTGGTGTGAGAGGAGGGGGCCCTTAAATGTGGTGGTCGACGGGTCTTAATTACTCTTAGCCGTGACTGGCAGGTCTTGACCCCTATCCTACCCCCTCTCCTTCCCAAACACACAGCATCTTCCTCCTGGGCCCAAGTCCCACTCACCCGAATTTCTCAGTTCCTGGCCGTAGATTAGAAAGATCAACGGCCATAAATGAAGAATCAGCGTTAGTGTGACATGAACCCCGTTCTCCCATCGAGTACTTTCTACCTATGGAATTTATTATTATTATTATTATTTCTTTTCTTTTTTAAAACTACGCTATATTCTTCTCTCAAATCTTTTCATTATCTTTCAAATTCTTTCAATTCACTTCACTACCTACCTACCACTACTCCTAAGGCTTGAACAAGGGACCCCTGCAAACATAGCGTTGTTGTCTCCCTCCAGCCATCAGAGGGGATGCATGTTGCCCCCCGCCCCAACCATGGTGGTCAAGGATGGGGTGGGGCCGCCGGTGGGGGTCCGGCTAACGCAAAGACCGAGCATTTTGCCAGTAGCTGCGCCTCCCTTTTCATCATCCCCCACCCCCAACCGAATAACAGTAGTGTCTAAGGCCAACACTCTCCCACACACCACACACAACCCACTCACACTCACACTCACACCCGTGTTGGCCAAGGACCCTGCTATTAATGTTGACACCAAGTTTTTTTTTTTTTTTTTTTTTTGTAAAAGGAGGCCCAGTGCCCAAGGCTGATATTACCAATAAAAGAATTGAGGCCGGGGTCCTCACAGTCTACCCGGAGTAACCAAACCGAAATTGCTGAGAACCGGGCTCAGCGTCCCTCGACCCACACTTCAGACTATGTACTGTACAGAGGGAGCGAAAGGAGCCCCTTTTTTTTTTTTTAATGACCCCTGTGCTGGAAACCGGGTCCAGCGTCCCATTGCTACTGTCATCTATTCTTAATAAACAGGCTGACCCCTGTGCTGGAAACCGGGTCCAGCGTCCCATTGCTACTGTCATCTATTCTTAATAAACAGGCTCATTGCTTTTCTACCACCTTACCAAGGAAACCAACCCATTCTCAGAAACACTGCTGCAAGTGTTAAAAACCTCAACCTGAAGGTGGGAGTGCCTCTTCAGTCAGACTTCTGACCGCCTGATTAGAATGATAATCCTAGCCTCCCACTTTAGAGTCTATCTAACACTGCCTATTCCTGTATCCTATCCTTCCCCCCCCCTGCGAACCACTCAAGATCCACCAAAGCTAGTGTAGAGGGAGGGAAAGGATCAGCAAAGTACTCGGGTGCTCTCAGGGAAGCTGGTTGGATGTCAAACCAGTTGCAAAAGGTGACACCAAGTTCCAAAACACAAAAATGAAAAGTGACATTCTGCCACTAGGTAACAGAATGTCATTTTTCATTTTTGTGTTTTGAAACTTGGTGTCAACATTAAATTCCAACGTGGTCGCCGCCAGCCATTATGGTTTGGGAGCCTCCAATTTTATTTTTTCTTTCGAGAGAGCTTCTGAATGTTCTCATGTTGCCTTGGGCCATGTACTGCTTGTTTAAACCACCAGTACTTGGCCCATACATCGGCCGCGGGCCCTTAGCGTTAACGCTACGCATTTCCCGCGCTTCGGCAAAGGCTTGGAATGGCAATGGGGGAGGGAGCTGGTGGCCCCATGGAAACGGGGCAAAAGGACTCCACGATGTCCTGGTGGTGTGCTATGTGGAAACACACGGACACTGAAATCAACGAGGGGAAAAACAGAAACGAAATGGAGGAAAAAAAATTACGAAACAGATCGTTGGCACCTCGTGGTCAGACTCCCCGT